CTTGTAACTAGTAACTCTTCGGTACCTTAGGTAGGGTTTTATGCCGTGAATAGGTACATTGTAATAGTTAAGCAGAGAAAAAAACCTAATACTGGCTTGTTTTATGAAATCTAGGATGCTAGGCAAAAGATACTAGAGACACACACAGCCTGTGATACCTAACCCAACTGTTTTTATTATTATTATTTCTTGGGTGGGGGTGGAGGGGAGAATTCTTTCTGTTGCTCTGAAAAATGGAGGAAAGCGGTGCTGAGTTTCGGTTTTGGGATGACTTCCTTACTAGTGCTTTCTTCCTCTATTGGTTTCTTAAAATGTGTGTCTTCCCATATCTGTTTTTTAGATAATGTCTTGAATGATTTTTTTCTGGTTTTATTTTATAGCTACACATGATACTATGTAATTACTGCAATTTCCCTTTGCAGCTAACCTAGCTGTGTTCCTAGTCACCTTTGTTGCTGTCTGTGGGGAAGAAAAAAGTCAGCTTTATGTAAAGAACTTCTTAGTTCTGATGCAGGCTAGTCCTCCTGATATTTACGGATTTTAGGCAAATCAGTGTTTTGTTTTGGGGTGTTTTCCCTTTTTCTTCCTTTTTTTTTTTCTCTCCATATACAGAAACACTGAAATCTGTACATGGTTCAGAAGTGATTGAGTGTCATGAAGTCTGGCAGTTATCCTCTCTGTAGGGATACAGACATGTATGAAGTGAATTGAAGATGCTTGTAGGAGACTGAATAGTTGAGCATGGTAAATGTAAATGAAGCAGAACTGGCTGCAAATAGGAAGAAGCATCAAAAAAACTTAAACGAGGGCTTCTTAGTAGTCTCTGCCCAAATGCTGGTGCTTTTAGTTTGGGAGGTTTGGATGTGGCCCTTAGGTTTATTACACATACTGATTTCTCTAGGCGTGGTGGAAAAAAAAAAGCTGGATTGTTTTGTTGGATTTGTTTGCCATTTGCAATGCAGTTCTGTGCAGTTGTAGCCACTGTTGCTTTCTTCCTGTTGACCATGTAAACTCTTCATTAAAGACTAAACAGTTGATGGCAAATTAATGTCACATAAGGCGTTTTATAGATGCGTCTATGTGTGCATGCGCACACATTTAATAGAAATCTGTTGGAAGATTTAGAGAGTATTGTGGATTTCAGATGTCTCTCCTGGTGCTTTTCAGGGTCCCAGGCAAACGTCAGTGTGCTGTTAAATGGCAGACACTGGCTATTGTGTGAGCCCACGTCTGTGCTGCTGTGACTTCATCTTTTATGTCAAATGAGCGTTAGCTCTGAGCAGAGTCAACTGGCTGGTTTTATTATGTATAAGACAAAATTTCTCCACTCTGCGTTCTCTATGCACTTCTGAGAGGAAGCTTGTAAATGTCCAGAGTTTGGGTTTGTGCCATTTTTATAGATGGAAACTTGTACATAAATTTTGTCTAGCCTGGAAGGTTCTCTTGGGACTTTTGAACTAAAGCTGATGGAAAAAGGTGATAGTTGAGTATTTGAAAAGATCAGTAGGCTCAGGAAAACATTGGATTTTATCATTGTAACTTGAATAACTACTTCTTTGATTAAGCTGTCTTTTACTTAAGATTCAGTATTTGTCTCTAGCTGAAAGTGTTAATGTTTTTGCTCTACCTAGCCCAGTGGACAAGGTACAGCAAGGGATTTTTGCAAAGGTCTTTGGGATGCCAAAGGAATTCTAGTTTATTATTAGCACAGACAGCACTAAATGCAACATAATTTTTTTTTTTTTTCCCGACATAAGATTAAATAAAAAAAAAAACTTTTGGGGAAATTAAACCAGCACAGAGATTATACTTAGCATATTTCATAACTAGGCTGCTGTCATTTTGATCTGCTGTTAAGAACTGCAGTGTGTGCTGGAACTGAAACAATTCCTTTTTGTGCATGTGTATTTGCTGTCTCCTGCATGGATGCAATTCTAACGTGAGAAAGTGATGCTGTTGTCATCTGTGTGAAACCTGGGGTGGAGAACGGTGATTTCTGCTGAGCTTGCATCAGTCCCTGCTCGTGCCCCAGACTCTCTTGACTTGTGTTGGTACAATAAACCAGTGTCAATGCTTGGCTTCCTCGGGTGTTTGTTTTTGAAGAAGGTATAAAGGTTTAGGTTGGTTTTGCTCCATCATTTCCAAACCACCTCTTCCGCACCAAGTTATTGTAGCTGGTCAAGCGAGCCTCTGCAGTCACTGATTTGAACAGGTTTTCTCATTTCATCCTTAGTAATGATTTAAATGAACCTGTTCTATTTTGAACCAAAGTGGAATGGAAACAGGCTTATGATTAGTCATTGTGTCCCAGCAACTGTAGTGTTTTAAGCTGCTACTGCTGTTTTCTAGTGCACGTGGAATTACATCTATATTTTGTTTGGTGACGTAGATTACTTTATATTGGGCACCTTTCAAAAAAAAAAAAAGCACCCAAACAACAACAACAAAACCTTGGAAAAAAAAACACTTATGGAAGAAATATAACTGGTTTTGAGACCTTTAAGGCATGTTTTAAGTTCTGAATAATACAGGTGAGGCAGGTTGCAGTGAGGTCCTTGGGATGGAAGCTGCATCCTGCAGGTAACCGGAGTGGGTGCCAGGTTAAAATAGCTGGTCTAGGAACAAAACGTGCAAGCAGATGTTTTCCAAGGCAGATCAGTGACATCTTCACAAATTATGTCATTTATAGAAGTCAGTTTAGGACTAATGGGGCTTAAAAGGTTGCGCTTGATGCTGGAGAAATGTAATTATGCTGATTCTAGTGTACGCAGCTGGTGTGGATCTGTAGCAGTATACCTCTGCTTGAGACAATTCCTCTCAAAGTGAGATAGCGGTGTGAGGAGAGCTCTAGCCTAGAATCTGAAGCATGTGTATTGTCTGGATAGTCTCAGCCCTCTGTTTTCTTCCTTCTACACCATCTTCACTCTGTATTATGGAACTTTGTTCTTCTACTTCTGTTTGGCCAAGCCTCTGAAAATTTTCTATGTGATATGGTACTTAGATTTCCGAAGTAATAATGAGAAAAATAACTTGAGCAACATGTTCCATGACAGAGCAGAAGTGAGTTGTCAAGGGATTTTTTCTGACCAATACTGTGTTTTTATTTGATTTTCAGTGCACGTTAATTTCTCTCTACTGAAGTGAAACACAATCTTAGATTTTTGTTGAAAATTCAAAGAATAGGATGTGCACCTTCTTTTTTTAAAGTGTAAAAATTGTTGTTATCGTTATTATTATTACTTTGTCTTTGTTATCCTGCCATACCAGCAAATTCTGTGAATCCTGCTTCCTGGCATAGAATTGAACTACGTTAATTTCCAAGACTTGTCCTCATGTGTGTTTTGATTTGATTTTTTTTTTCCTTTCAAGGGTCTCTAGCCATTTGGATCCATTTCAGTCCTACCTGTAGAATTTTGAAGCTTGTGCTGTGGTTTACAACGTGCGCACCTACGCATGATTTTGAATCACTCCTGCGTACTCTTGACTTACCTCAATGAATTTTTATGTTACCTTGGGAATAAGACATTTTATAACATAGGAAAACTGTGTATATTTGGAAATTGGTCATTATTGCTCACAAAATAGGAACATAATTGTACGATATTAAATATTTGTTCAGTTGAAGCACTCAAATGTAATTTCTTGTGTTGGTAATGAGAACTGAATTAATTTTTTACTGAAATTAACTGTGACATAGGAGCAGATAGATCATAATGATCGTAGTTGGCTTTTTTTCTTTACAGTTTTGGCAGCCGCCATACACTGGTACTGTCGTTTGATCTCAGAAGTTCTTGTGTCACTGAGAGGTCCTATTGCTATTGCTTGAGTTTTTCTTTGTCCAGCTGATGAATAAATTTTTTTAATCATGATTATACATTTTCTACCCTTCAGGTGATATACTCAAGAAAAATAGATTTCCATCAAACTTTAATCAAGAGAATACTTGTAAATCTGGTGAATACTCTTGCTATTCTCCACATACAATTTTATTATTACCTAATGCTTTTGTGTGGTGGAAATGGATTAGGCTACATTACTTGTTCTCATGCCCTTCACCTCGTATTTTTCCCCCTTTTTTAAATGAAGAACTGTATCAAAATATGAGGCAAATTAGGATATCCATTTGAAACATTGAATGGAAGGTAACTGATACTTAATGATAGTTTTTTCACAGTGAAAGTTTACTTTTATAACTGTTAAGATTTCCCCACCCACCCCTGCCCTCATTCTAGGTTGTTTGCCTGCTATGATTTTATAGATGACTTAGAGGGTTTCTTTTTTTCCCTCTTCAATTAGCTGCTTTATTTTGATGCTGGCATAGGCCTACGTGTGGATTGTATGTTTGCTTTTCAGTAGCTATAAGAAGTATTGAGTGCTTTTGTTTTCTAGGAGAAAAAGTATACCATTACATTTTGAAAAAGGAGAGCTAAGGTTTGTTGCCGTCTTCCGATTGGTTACAGCGCAGCCTTTATTATTCAGAATTTTCCTTCAATTAACTAACTTCAATGACAACTGTGGAAGTGAAACTAAAGAAGTTGCTACGACAGCTTCAGTGTTGTGTTTAGATTGTTCTTGTCATGTTGTAGCACAAATTTCATTTTGTTGTATTCTTGTTACGTAGGCAGCTGAATTTTTCTCGAATACTGCGTATACTAAAGGTGTTTGCACAAGTTGCATAGGATCACTTTTTCTTTAAAGGAGAAAAGTATCTCTGATAGTATTGAGGAAGAAGGAACATGTCTGTCCTGTAGGTGTATTTGTATTTTGCACTTCTTTAATGGGAGAAACCACATCTAGGAAAGATTTAACATTTTCTAACAGCCCATTTAGGTGTATGATCTTGATTTTTCAACTCTGTAGATTTTTTTTTTTTTTTTAAAGCACAGTCTTTTCTATTTCATAGACTTTTGCTTTCTTTATAAGCATGGTCATAATGGTTTAAACAAGTAATTTTTTAAAAAATCAATTTTAACTGCATGAATATTACTTTTTTGAAACAGGAGGTCAGCAAAATCTCGAAGCAGAAGTCCATATTCCTCAAGGCACTCAAGGTCTCGTAGCAGGCACAGATTGTCTAGATCCAGAAGTCGTCATTCAAGTATTTCTCCGAGTACGCTGACTCTGAAAAGCAGCCTGGCTGCCGAGCTGAACAAAAACAAAAAAGCACGAGCTGCTGAGGCAGCCAAAGCCAGTGCAAAAGCTTCCAATACTTCAACACCGACGAAAGGGAGCACTGACACTGCTGCGAGTGCACCGCAGGTGAACAATGTGAAGGACCTGAAGAAAATAAAAGCTGAGCATACACCTTCTCCTACGAGCAGCGCCAGTTTGAAAAATGACAAGGCAAAAGCAAAGGTCCTGCCTCCTGAAACAAAAGGGGAAAATAATTTAATTGCAGACAAAATTACTAAACCGAAACCTCCAGCAGTAAAGGAGAATAAATTGACTGTTGGAAAGCAGCCACCTGCCGCTGTGAAAGAGAAAAGCAAACCAAGTACACCAAGTGTAGTAACAAAGGAGAAGGACCGCATTGTTGCACTACCAACCTCCACACTGCCACCCTTGCCTTTGCCTCCCACCCTGCCTGAAGATAAAGAAACTGATAGGTGGGTTGAGATAGATTTGCTTCTTGGGGTTGTCTGTTCCTTTTTGTTGCTGTTGTAATTGTTCTTTTTTTAAATTGTCATTTCCTTTGGAAGACAAAAATAATCCAATTTACTAGACCAAGATAATACGCTAGGTAGTTTGTTGTTGCTCTTCAGTTTAACATGGCAATTATTAGTGGACTGAAGGAATTTGATCTTAAAATAAAGACAATTTAACTGGTTCTTAAAAAGACAACGATTTAGTCTGGGAGATATTTCAAGAATAAATACACTAGAAGGATGATTAAAAACTGCTGGTACATAATAGCTTCTGGGATAATGCAAGGGTGCATTCAAGGATTCAAGATTTCAAGTTCAGTATGAACATGAGCACTGGGACAGGGTGCCCAGAGAAGCTGTGGATGCCCCATCCCTGGAAGTGTCCAAGGCCAGGCTGGATGAGGCATGGAGCAACCTGGTCTAGTGGAAGGTGTCCCTGCCCATGGCAGGGGGGTTGGAACTGGATGGGCTTTAGGGTCCCTTCCAACCCAAACCATTCTGTGATTCTATGATTCTATGTACATACTTGCAAGGAAAAGCTGGATTCAGTAGCAATATGCGAATATTCTTTAATTAGCCGGGGTTTGAGGTAAAGATTCTCTTCCCTTAGGAAAGGAGAATTTCTTCCCAATTGTTTTTATAGCTGTGCATTATTTTAGAATGGTTTATCTCAGAGATTGCTATGATTTTGAGTATGTATAATGGAAGTGAGGTTCATGGCTTGTCATTTGCGTTAACTTTTGAAATGTAAAAATTGGTCTGTAATGAAGAAATTCATGTCTTGAATTCCAAGTGTCATCTGAGTTTAGACAACATTAGGTCTCTTCATAATCCTAATAGGGAATACCTGCTGTGATTTGTATTGGAAAATTAGGCTGTTGAGCTGCAATTTAGTATCTTTTTTTTTGGTTTTGGTAATGAAGTTTAGAAAAGTTACTTTTGTTTTTACTCAGGGGATTACATCCCTCTCACCTGTGTATGAGAAATCGATTCCTCATAAAAAGTAAAACAAAATTTCTGAGCATCGAAGTAGTAACTGATGTGTGATCTGCCTTTGTAAAAAAAAAAAATACCAACCTGTACAAGAAAAATTCAAAACCTTATGAAGTACTTCATTTATATTCCATATCTGTGAAAATTGCCTGTCTTCTCTTGCTCTGGGAAGTGTGCAGTGTTTCTTCGATTAGTAAAAGTTGTTGTATCAAGAGGTTTAAATGTTTCTCTTGTGTTTGCAAGTAATTTAATGCTATGTGAAACACTAGGATGCTCAGGAGGCCTTGCAAATAAATACAACCTAACAAGGTATTAGATTTTTTTTAGTAGTAAAAGGGGAAACTTGTTTCTTGCCCTTCAGTACTGTAGCAAATGCCATTCCATTTGTTCAGAATCACTTCTGTGTGGTGAACATACGGTTGCATTTGAATTTATGACAAAGCCATCATCTCTAGGTAAACAGCATTTCTGACACTGTTATTTGAGAGCAAGATGTACTGTTTTAACTAAAAACTAGGCAAACTAGTTTAACTAAATATATGACTGGCTTCGCAGTGTTAATTACGATAATAAGAAATGAGGTTTCATCTTGAAGGTGGCTAATTGCTTCTCAGTATTTTTTAATGTAATACCTGTTAGGTAAACTGCAGTTTATATAGGTAAACTGCACAGAGGAGTTAAGCTACAGTTAAATGGTTCTGTCAGCACTGGGCTCATTCTCCTTTCAGGAAAAAAAAAAGGCATAATGCTTGCAAACAGCTGTATTAGAAAGATTAATGACAAGTAATGAAATGTCTGTCATTCATGCTTTGCTTAGTTTTGCCTCTGGGATGTTACACATTTCAGATTGGAATAGTTATGATAAGATGTCACGATAAAGCTTAATTCATCACAGAGAAGTGATCACTGTGTTAGAGGGGAGGAGGGCAAAGGTATTTTTAGCTTGGACTCGGAGTTACTATGGGGAAATTGTGCTAACAAAGCAAGCTGGATGCTAGGCAGAACTGGCAGGTTCCTAATGTCATGTCATTTGCAAAGTTCAGTAAGAATCTGGTGAACCCCCGAATAAACTGCCTGAAAAGGAACAGCAGTGTTGCAAAACCACTATGTAGGTTAGCTGAAAGGGAAAACTGTTCTGGTGGTCAGCGACGTGTGATTTAACAGACCTGGAAAATAAGGCTTCTCTTGCCTGCCTCTGGTTTTGTGCATCACTTTTAAAATCGGAACCTCTCCTGCATTTTACTTTCACTAATATTGAAAGTCTGCGGGCAAAATTGTAAGACAAACACGTGAACTTCAAAATTAAGATGTTTTCCTTACCCTGAGAGTAATAGCATGCTAGGCGTTACATTTGTGATGAGGGCAGTATGTTTCCTTGAGGTGCCTCTTTAAATTCAGGTGATGGAAGCTTGGGAAATGGTAGAAGACATTGAAGTGTTCTGTTTTCATGGGGAAGCATAAACATATACAAAACACTAGAATGCTGTATCACTAATTGCAATTCATGTACCAATCCAGTACCTGAAGAGGCTACGAGGAAGCTGGGGGGGACTTTTTACAAGGGCCTGTAGTGACAGGACAAGGGGGAACGGGTTTAAATTGAAAGTGGGTAGGTTTAGATTGGATATCAGGAAGAAGTTCTTCCCGGAGAGGGTGGGGAGGCACTGGGACAGGTTGCCCAGAGAAGCGGTGGATGCCCCATCCCTGGAAGTGTCCAAGGCCAGGCTGGATGAGGCTTGGAGCAACCTGGTCTAGTGGAAGGTGTCCCTGCCCATGGCTGGGGGGTTGGAACTGGATGATCTTTAAGGTCCCTTCCAGCACAAAACTTTCTATGATTCTATGATTCCATGTAAGAAAGAAAATATGCATTCTCCATTATGGAAGATAGCAAGATTTTTCCATCTACAGAAGTTCCTGCTTTACCTATGGAAGTAGGTAGGTGATAAGTTGTAGCACAACCTCCAGAAAAGGTTCCCAGAGGACAATAGAATAGTGTGATTTGACAAATGCGGCTTGCTTGGAAAATGCCCCCTCAGAGCATGACAGAAAGGTTTCTTGATGCAATGACAAGGTTTGAAATTTAAGGAGAGAATACAGTATGAGAGCCCTGTGAGGTGAACAGTTACGTAGTTATATAAAGCTGAGAGACTGTCATGGTTTTAAAATTGCTGGATATGTAGTAGCTGCACAAATCTGGCTGAACTGAGGAAGTTGTGGTAAAATGGAACCATGTGTTTTTAAAAAAAAAGTCCTGCACAAGTATGATCTTTTCAGAATTTCCCTATGAGAATGGGAAAGGCATCTCTAGGCTTGTTGCATATAGCAGTTGTTAAGGGAACATGTTGCTGCTGTACATGTGTTTGGGGGATTTTTTTTTCAAGACTGAGATTGATTGTCAGTATCCGTTACCTAATTACAAGACTGAGATTGTCAGTATCCGTTACCTAATTATGGTTGATTAAAAAATGGTCAGATTTCAGTAACACATGGCAGAAAAGCATTTAGTCATTTATGAGATTGGAATCTGTCTGTGAGGTGATGCGGTCTGCCCCATAGTGCCCCGCAGTGTTACGGTATCTCTGTAAAGCAGCGTTGTGGTGAACTGGCTTAGGGGAATCTTCTCTCTTACATGAGAAGTCAGAGTACAGATCTTACCCTGATGTCTGGCAGTACCTGACCTTTAAATATTCTTGATAGTCTAGGCCATAAAACTGAGAAGAAACTCGTGTGGCACAAGTTGTCTGATGTGGTAAGGCTTGCTGCCTCACCTCACCTCTGTTTTCACCAGAAAGATCCCATTTCATGTTTTTTGTAGAATTTTGGTAGTTAGCTGTTCGTCTTGCAGAGACCTGCTTGTGTTCCATTTGTAAAGCATAAATCCAAGTCCCGCAAATCCTAAGAGCAGAGATTTCAAATGCTGACATGTTGACAGCCTGGGATGTATTTTTAAAAAATTATTCCAATAAGTTTTCTTTTATCTACGTTAATATCATTCTGCTGTGTTCAACTTACTAGCCAAATTGTGTCTTTCTAATAGTTTGCGAGAGAATATTTCAGTGAAGTCAGTTAAAGAAGCAGAGAAGAAACTTCGCCATCTGCTCGCAGACTTGCCGCTTCCACCTGAGTTGCCTGGAGGAACTGAGTTATCCAAAAGTCCAGAAGAAAAGAAACCAGCAGTTCAGTTACACAGCAAGAGAAGACCAAAGTATGTTTGTTAGACTTTTTAAAAATACTTACCAAGCAAGCAAAAGTGGTAATGGTTTCTTTAAAATTATTTTTTAAATGTTTCTGCTTTTTAATGACTTTTTAAAATATTAACGAGGCTTGAATCAAACTGCATGGTTTATTGCCACTTAATGGTAGTAAGCCAGTTATCTAGTAATGTCTCAAACATTCACTGTTGAGGTTTTTTCCAAGGTTATTTTCCTTAGATATATTAGCTGTATTCTTAGGAGTGCTTGTTGTGTTCTAGAATATGTGGACCACGACATGGTGAAACGAAAGAAAAAGAAATAGACTGGGGAAAGCGCTGTGTGGATAAATTTGATATCATTGGTATTATTGGGGAAGGCACTTACGGACAAGTTTACAAAGCCAGAGATAAAGACACAGGTAAGTTCAAAAAAAAAAGTAAATGTAATCTTACAATTCTGAAGCGAACAGGCTGTTTTGGTTTTATATTGAGTAAAATTTGTGGTGTTTGGCCCTCCAGCATCTGGTCACTAGCTGATAGGAAGACAGTCTGCCTGTGCAGCACAGCCCTGAAGCGTTGCATATTGGGTGTTTTTCTTGCAGTGTAACTGACTTTACAACAGTGACGTAATTTTTAAGTGTCACAATAAACCATTGCTCAAATGAGCAAGCAGTCATCACGATGATTAAGAATGTTGTCACTGCTTCTAAATAGGTAAAGCACTGAGGTTAATTATTCATGTGTGCTGTATGTTGCTTGTTTCATGTTCAGTTAGTGGTTCTTCCTGTGACTGCTTGCCCTTCTGGTTTATGTGTGCGTGCTTTGGATGCTGGATAATTTTCTACTTCAGCAGTAACTGAAGCACATAGGATCACATACCAGCCTCAGTTCCTCTTCCTGATCTCCAGAAGAATAAGCAGCATAATGATAATTCCTCCTTTGTGCTTCACCTGAGCTTGTCTCAGTTTGTAAACTTTAGTTCTTAAGTTGGCCTGTCACAGGTTTTATCTTTGCCTCCCACCTTGGGAACCATTGCCAGTCGTTGTAAGGAGCTCCTCCCTGCTCTCCTGCGGTTCAAATCTTCACACACTTCGCTTTCTAATCCTATCATAACCATACTGCCTCTTTGGCAAGCTTCAGGTTATTTGTGTGTGGCAATCATTTCTTAACCTGCAGTAGAATTACTGCTCTCTGCATGGAATGGGTCTGCACATTTACAGCAAACCTCGCGTTGGCTTTGGCTTCAACTCCTGTGCGACGAGTGACGTTATGGCCTTTGAGATACCTTATAACACGCTGTGCAACGGGCTTTAAGAGCAAGTGGGTATTGTGTCATGCTGGAATGTGATCTACTGTGTTTGTATCTTACGCACTGGTGTAGGGTAAGTCCTTTTAGAGGTAACAAAGAGAGCTGTGCTGTCAGTAAAATTACCAGACACCGCAGTAAACTTCCAAGAACAAAATGGTTGAGCTGCCATACAGTCTTCTGATATCCTCCATCACGAGCAGATCATGCTCCTGCCATTTTGCAGAATCCAATTTCATCCAGCCCAGCCTGCAGTAAAATAATTAACAAAACTCCTCCTCACTGTAAACGTGGCAATGGCACTTCTGTTTGTAGGAAGTGTAACGACCAATTTGAGAACTCTTTTGTTGTCTGCCTCGTGTCTCAAGATGTGTGGTACTTGTGGCCGGATATGTGTTCTGACCTGTGGTGATGTAGTAATGAGGAATTCAGAGCAGACATAGGCGTCTGTCTCTAAAGTTGATGTTGGTAATTGATCCTACCTGGGGGTTTATTCATAGACCTGGTGTAGAGTCTCAGGACGCAGGTGAGCGAAGTATGTAGGAGGAAGAAGTCAGGGCTTAGTGATGAGCTGAAAATTCTCATTTATAGTTTTGCTTCTCCCTTTGATTGATGGCCAGCAGTGGTTAATTCTGTTTCCATTCAGCAGAGCGTTTGACAAAAGCGTCAAAAGGTTAACTAATCCATTCAGAAAGAGTAACAAAGGGGAAGGGCTTTAAAGAAATGAGCAAACTCAATACTACATCCCATAGTTTGGTTACGAATCTTAACATTTTTTATTTCAATTTTCTCACAGGGGAAATGGTGGCACTAAAGAAAGTACGACTGGATAATGAAAAGGAAGGTTTTCCCATTACAGCTATTCGGGAGATTAAGATTCTTCGACAGCTTAATCACCAAAGCATTATCAACATGAAGGAAATAGTGACAGATAAGGAAGATGCTTTGGACTTCAAGAAGGACAAGGGTATGTGTTCTTGCACAGGGGTAGCTCTTTCTGCTCCTGTTCTTAATGCAGTAGTCTGCACTTGAAGTTAAGCTTCATTAAAAAATATGTTTGCACGTCATGATGCTTGACAAGGGGCTTTAATTTTGATTTAATTTCTAGCAGAAGTCCTTTCTTTAACTCAGCTATGCCTTTTCCTCGTAGAAACACTTTTGTAAATATTTTATGGGGTTAAAAAAAAATTACTACTTGATTCCAGTTGTGCTGGGGAGGAACAGATGTTGGGCTCCTTGACAGTCACGGATTAGGGAGGCCAGCAACAATAGGAAGCTCTTAACTGTGAGCTTTTTTTAACCTTTTATTTTCCTTGTAGTATTTCATCATATCATGTAGATTATTGTAGGCGTGATGCTGAAGCGGTGTTTTGCATCGTAGGGTTTGGTTTTAGTTGAACTGTGATTCAGTTATTTTTGGTTTTGTAATTGGGCAGGTGTGTCTTGAAGGCTTGAAGAAGGATAAATGAAACAAGTGAAAAGCAAGATTTGTGGTGTGGTGGTGTTTTTTCCCAAAATGAACGCATGCAGCTTTTTATTCTTTTGGTCCCCTCAGTGTTAAGCCTGGCTTATGTGAGATGCTGCAAGCTCCTCAGCCTAGAGAATCCAGCAGAGTGGAAATCTTGCAGTGCTGTTTCTTGGTACTTTTGATATTGGAGTGGTCATTTTGTCTTTGGAGGTCACTTGCTTTTACGTCCAAGTCTTATAAACCTATCATTTTGGGGGTATTTTAGTGTCCTGTGGACAATGCGATACATGGTTTGGCTGAGAAAGGTGTTTCGAATGTGGTACCTGTGCTTCTTCCCTGCTTGACTTCCCTGAGTTTCCATACAGGTGCCGAGCAGCAGTGCGGGTTGAGAACACTGTATGTACTGCACGGCCAGCAGAAACCCCAGTGATGTTGTGATGAGTCAAAAGATGGCTGTCATAATTCAGTAGGAATTAGCTTGG